AATTTATTGTGGTGATAGTTGCACAACTCTATGAATATGTTGTTGTTGTTGTTGTTGTTGTTGTTAAGTGCTGTCAAGTCAGTTCTGACTCATAGCGACCCTGTATAGGGTTTCCAAGGAGCAGCTGGTGAGTTTGAACTGCCAACCTTGTGGTTCAAACCGACCTCGTGGTCCAGTGCTTTATCCTACGGCGCCCACCAGGACTCCATGAATATAGTAAAAGTCATTTAATTGTTCACTTTAAATGGATGAATTGTATGGTATGTGTATTATATATCAATAAAGCTGTAATGACAGCAGGGTGGCTCTGTAGGATAAGCACTAGACTGAGAACTACAAGGTCAGCAGTTTGAGCCACCAGCTGCTCTGCGGGAGAAAGATGAAGCTTTCTGCTCCCACAAAGTTTACAGCCTCGGAAACCCGTTACAGGGTCACTGTGAGTTTGAACTGACCCAGGGGCACGTAACAACAAAAGCAGCAGGAGCAAAAACAAAGCTGTTTTTTAAAAAAGAAGTATTGTCAGAGGTATTGGCTTTACTATTGGTCAACAAGCCAGACAAGCCGGTGTTTCTAACTTGGAGTCACACTGATAGATTTCTGCCAGTCTTTCCTCTCCATTTTATTACTAATTCAAGGATAGTAGATCGTTATCTATCATTTGCAGTGCTAATTCTGAAATACAAAAAAAAATTTTAATTGGATATAGATTTTTCTCTTGTGCTTTTATGCTTACATTCAGCCCTAAAAGTACTTGCTCAATAATTATGAGAAATATGTCTTTAACATCTCAAATCAAATCCAAGCTTTAACCTTCATCACCAGCTTGACCCTCCACAACAGGCTGAGTGACGGCATTGGCATTTTCAGACAAACTCTCCCACCCTCCACATGCTTTGTAAGGTTAACTCCATCCTTCTTCAGCAATTAAGGCCTCGTTTTTCTTGGTTTTCCAAACACTGTTAGATTACCATTCATGCTTGCTTTTTCATGTACTCATATCATGTTCAGAAACACTCATAAGATTTTCTTTAAACATTTTCATTCTTGTTTTAAATGGGTATCATAAAAGTTTTTATTAAAAAAAAATTTTTTTTTTTAAAGATACTTTTTTCAGCCTAGGTGGGAATATCTTTCTAGCAAACATCCACTGCCATCGAGTGGATTCCAACTCATAATGAGCCTGTTGTTGTTGTTAAGTGTGGCTCAGTTGGTTCCGACTCATAGTGACACTGTATAAGATTTCTGAGACAGTAAATCTTTGTGGGAGCAGAAAGCGTCATCTTTCTTTGGGCTCGAACTGACGATTTTGTGATTCGAAGTGCAGTGCTTATCCTACAGAATCACTATGCTGCCAACAACCCTATGTTGTTGTTGTTGTTAAGTGCTGTCAAATTGGTTTCAACCCATGTGACTCTGTATAGGGTTTTCTAGGAGCGGCTGTTGGGTTTGAACCACTGACTTTGCAGTTAGCAGCTCAGTGCTTTACCCACACAACCACCAAGGCTCCTTATACACATTATTATATTTTCTAAATAAAGACTATATGCCAAATTTGACCTCATTATACTTATTGGAGCTCTCTGATTCAACCACTGAATGCATTTGTAACATAATTTGTAATATAATCTGCCATCATGCATATGTAATTTCTTCCTATTCTGTGCAATTAATTTCCCATCATCAGAGAGAGTGTTTTATGATCCTTAAATGCAATCCAGGTTAACCAGATACTCCATGTGGTCCAGACTCTGTACAATCGCTTTTCAAAAAAGTCTTAGAACCAAAAGGAATTTGAAATGCAGTTAAATCCTTTATTGTTAAGTGTTGTCAAGTCTGTTCTGACTCATAACGACCCTGCACAGGGTTTCCGAGGCTGTAAATCTTTACAGGTGCAGAAAGACTCATCTTTCTCCCGCGGAACAGCTGGTAGTTTCGAACTGCTGACTCTGAGGTTAGCAGCCTGATTTATAACCACTTCGCTACCAGAGCTCACAATCCAATTTGTAATCACAAAGCAAAAATGTTTAAAGCCTCGTCTCAATCTCTGTTGTACCTATCCTAGCCCCTTTCAAGATCTTCAAATGTCTCTCTCAGCCCATGTGAGTTCCTCATGCCCAAGCAGTTTTCTTCCTGTGTTGATGTTAACAGGTAACTTCTTCAACTTCTCAGCTCTTTCCACCCAGTTTGCGGCTTAGTTCCACCTCAAGTCTAAGCAGGAAGTGACTCCCTGCTCACAGTCTTCCTCAGGAAGGGGAAGAATTGCATTCCCCCCCAATTAATGTTTTTATACACTGACACATACTGAGAGTTTGAGTGTTTCATGTAGGGACAGTTTGGGAATGACTTTTTTTTTGTTTCATCAAGGACTCGCCATATTTCTAAACAGAACATCTCAAGGTTAAGGGAATGGAGTGAAAGTAACAGAGGTCTAAGCTGTAAGGAATGGCAGACATTTTTGAGCAGAATGTTCTAAGGATTGTGTCTACCAAGCAGACAAGCTAATGGGTCACGCTCAGAAGGGCCTCATGCTTGGTTTAATGCTCTTGAAATGGTTAACAATATACAAATGAGAAGTCCTTGTTTCAATTTTCAACTAGGTCCTGCAAAACCAGCCGATCTCTTATGAAGGCCAAGGTTCTTAAACATGGTCTGGCTCCCACCTAATTACCTCACCTTTCTTTCACTTCCCACTCAGCAGAGGTCTGGAGTTGTTGCTGGAACCTTGGTTTGTTATCAGTGAAATTGACTGGTAACCTGTATCTCAGGGTCTCAGAAACAATGTGAAAAAGTGGGAAGAAAGAGAAGGGAGGGGAGTTAACTCAATGGTTGCTGTTGTTGTTAAGTGCTGCCGAGTCAGTTCTGACCCATAGTGACCCTGTATAGGGTTTCCGAGGAGTGACTGGTGAGCTTCAACCACTGACCTTGCAGTCCAGAGCATTAACCCGCAGCAACACACCAGGACTCCAACTCAGGGGTTAAGAAGCTGTTACTGATACCCATAAAACCTTGCAAGAAAAGCCTGGTGTTCTGTTTCTGGAGAACTCTATGGAGCACAGTTCTATTCTGACACATGGGGCCACTATGAGTCAGAATCTGCAAGACAAATGTAGCCTTTGAGATCCAGCCTTTCCCACCAGGGCTTGGCTCAGGCTTCTGTTTTAGGACCCTTAGTGCCTGGGAACTCGCCACTTATACCTTCTAACAGACTATGTTCCGTGTATTCTGTGGAGGTGTGCTTCTTTCCTGTTGCTGAGCCCCATGGTAGGCAGGAGCTGATAGTTCAGTTCAGCAGGAACAGGGCTGCTGCTGCCTGCGTAGAGCTCCATGCTCTTTACAAGCTTGTGGCTCCACAGAGGAGAAGGTCCGTAGAGTGGGGAGCACCCTCTACACCCAGGCAGACTAGGTTCTTAGGACTGCCACACATCTAAGCATGCTGTGCACCATACAAATCCAGAAGACGACTTTCCCGTGAAAGGTGTACAACTTTTACAACCACACATGATGGCCCGGGGACAGCCACCACTTGAGCTGTGATATGGAGGAAGTTGTACGTTTCTGAGCTTCAGGTTTCTCATCTAGAAGATGTAGGAGATATTAATAACCATCCTGTAGGTACTTTAAGGAGTCCTGGTGTGAGGCTGTGGGTTAATGAGCAGGACTGCAAAGTTGGTTTGACCCACAAGGTTGGTGGTTCAAGCTTACCAGCTGCTTCTTGAAAACCCTATACAGGGTTGCTATGGGTTGGCACTGACTCGACAGCACTTAACAACAACAGTAGGTAGTTTAAAAGAGAGTAAATGAAATAACATACCTAATGACTAATAAGGGGTTTAATGTTTACTTGCATCAATAAATAAATGCTCCCATCAAAACTGTTACCCAGGTCTTTGTCCTCCCCTGGGCACCTGGGGCTGGTGCTCACAAGGAGCAGAAGCTTTCCCCAGTACTAAAATCTCCCAATATTAAAACCTGGAGATTCATATAATTTAATGTTAAAACTCCTGTCTTTAGAGGTAAAAATGCATATGTACCTTTCTGAGACCAACATAAAAAGATTTTTACTTTAAGAAGAGAAAGAAAGAGGAAGTGGGAAGAAATGGTACTATCCTCCCAAACCCAAAACCAAATTCACTCCCTTCAAGTTGGTTCTGACTCATAGTGACACTGTGCAAGGTTTCAGAGACTGTAAATCTTTATGGGAGCAGACAGCCTCATCTTGCTCCCACGGAGGGGCTGGTGGGTTTGAAACATGCACCTTGAAGTTAGCTACCCAATACTTAACCCTCTGCGCGCGCCGTCAGATCTCCAGGCTTAAGTTCAAACAATCCTCCCATTCAATCTCAACTCTGGATGTGCAGGGATCTACATAGGCCCAATGAGTCTCAATGGAGACTCTCCCTAAAGGGACACTTGGCAATGTCTGGGGACATTCTTGATTGTCATGATTGGTAGGATGCTGCTGGCCTCTAGTAGGTAGAAGCCGGGATGTTGCTGCTCATCCTAAAATATGCTGAGGGGCCCTGGCAGGGAGACACTGTACAACAAAGACATTTCCAGCCCAAATATCAGTAGCTGAGGTTGGGAAGCTGTTGGTTAGGACTTTATATCTTCCTGCTGTCCTGAACTTCAGTGCTCCATGCCCATTCTGTAAATAAAAGATCTCCAAATGATTGTCATTGAGTTGGTTCTGATTCATGGTGACCCCATGTGTGCAGAATAGGCCTGTGCTCTGTAGGGTTCTCAAGGCTGTGACCATCTGGAAGCAGATCACCAGGCCTTTCTTTAGTCGTACCCCCAGGTGGTTGAAGGTTGAACCACCAGCATTTTGGTTAGTAGTCAAGCACACACCCTTATGTACCACTTAGCAATTCCTCTTTCTCTCCCTAAGGGTCATGAATGGGGCTACATGACTTCTTGGATTCCTAGGAAGGCCAGAGAAATCCCAGAATAAATGGTGATGCTGGGAACTTCTGTTTTCCAGATCCACGTGGCATGAAAGGATGTCCGGCGTAGGAGTGCCCCCAAGATGCACGCTTTGTTTCTTATCGACGTTGCTTTCCCAGAAGGTGCCTGAAAAGTCAGACATCGTGCTTCGCTGCATCATTTCTGGTAACCATTCCTGGCTCATTAAATGCCAAGTCTCCCTGCAGACCAGGCCTTTGGTTGAGTTCACACAGGCCTTGGTGAAACATCATTTGGGAAAATTACCTTGGAAGTTTGCTCTGAGTAATTGACTGAGCAATTAAATCCTCTATTGTTTTTTTCCTAAATGATTTGTTCGAGAAACTTCCTGGACACATTTGAGTGGCCTTCCTCAATTCATGGGGTAGCTCTTGGTAAGGTACCTTTCACCCTGATTGCCTTGCTACACCATCTACTCTTCACTTCCTGTGGGACAGAGAGCGACAGGAATTACGTCACCACAGACAATCTCTTGAACCTCTGCAATTTTTCACTGAGTTCCAAAAACCGGGTAAATTAGTCTTCCCACTGCCTGCGTACCTTCTTCAGGCATGTTAATAAGCGGTGAAATGGTTAAAATTGAGACAAGCCCAAACCAAAACCAGAACCAAAACCCAGGCCCACAGCTGTCGAGTTGATTCTGACTCAGAGAGACCCTGTGTGGAAAAGCAGGAGACTGGAATTCCCCTAACTGGAGAACCGAAGATTAAATCAGTCTGAGTAGATCAAGTGCTGGTAACCCCAAAAGTAAAAGGATTTACCATTAGAAGGGATAAAAAACAAAATAATTGCCTCAGTATGTCTCTACTGTTAGAATCAGAAAAACAATGGTGGTCTTTCTTGAGGATAGTGGGGAAACCCCTCTTTCCAGTAATCCCCTTTTCTAAGTACAGAGAGAAGAGCCCACCTCAGAAATATATGTGAACTCCAAGCCCAGGACCAAGCTGTCTTTCTGTCTTTTTTCTCAATCATCATTACTACAAAGCTTTTTTTTTCAATAAACCCCAAAGTTGTTTTTTGTTTTGGTTTTACAGCAAAAGGATATAATGCTTAAATAAGCCAAGGGAAAAGGGAACCAGGTGCCATCTAGTCCATTCCAACTTACCTCAGGGTACTGTTAACAGTTAACAGAATTAGCTGTTTACTGAAAGGCTGAAGATTCTGGTCTACTCAGAGATGCCTCCAAAGGATGACCCAGTTATTCACTTCCAAAAAAATGAGTCACTGAGAACCCTATGGAGCATAGTTCTACTCTGAGGTTGCCATGAGGGAAAAAGGGACATGGGCGAAATCCAGAGAAAAGTGGACATAAGGACCCAAGTGACACCTCATGGGCAGAGGGGAGACACACATGACGTGTTTGATTCAGTCAGCCAAGGGTTGTCACAACATGTAGGGGAGTGCTGCCTACCACAGACGCTCTTTACAGACTCACTGCCTTGGCTTTCTCTTGGGGGCTAGTCTCTGGTAGTGTCGTGGTTACAAATCGGGCTGCCAATCTCATGATGAGCAGTTGGAAACTACCAGCCGTTCCGTGGGAGAAAGATGAGGCTTTCTGCTCCTGTAAAGATTTGCAGCCTCAGAAACCATGTACAGGGATGCTATGAGTCGGAACCGACTCCACGGCACTTAACAACAGCAACAAGTCACACAGGTACCCTCTGCCTAGCATGGACGAAAATTTCAGACTCCCAGAAGGAAAGCAAGTGCTCAGCATATACCACATTGTTTGTCTAAGCAATGTAGGCACAGTGAGACACCCTTCTAATTTAGGGGATGGTAGGGACACTCCTGAAATATAAATTGCCAGAACCTAGAAGGATGAAGGGCCCACGTTACAAGCAGATGTGTGTAAGACAGGCAGACTCAGACCTGCTGTGCTCTCTTGGTGGTTCATAGGATCACTTTTCCATGGACCCCACAGCCCCTAAGCCTCCTTCCTTTGTCCCTGCTCATCCATAGTCATTCTGACACAGGGAGCCACAGTTCATCCCCAGCATTTAGTGTGGTGCCTCCATGCTTTTCCAGGAAGCCCCAGTGTACCCTAACCTTGGCTTCTGACTCCAACCACATTCTAACCCAGTCGCCATCTGCAGGTAGGCTCAGAAAGCAAGGGTGGGCTGTGAGGGTGAGGTTTCCAGTAAGTGGAAGGGGAAAGGAGAAAAACCCACAGGTAAGATGAGACCACTTCCCTACACTAGTCTCTCTTCTGGTTGATTATTCAGATCTATACTACACTGAGGAAAAAAACAGTCATTAGAAAGCATAGGAATGGAAAAGTAGAGCCCAAGAGGTCGGTACATGCTCCCCTGACTCAGCTCATGTATATTACGTGTGTTGCTGTTAAGTGCCATTGAGTTGGTTCCAACTTATAATGACCCTCTATAGCAGGGGTGGGGAACGTCCAGTCTGAAGGCCTGAGAAATCATTTGGTCTGGCCCTGGCAAGGCAACCGCAATTCCAACCATCAACATTGTTATCATTAAGTGCTGTGGAGTCAGTTCTGACTCATAGCGACCCTGTATAGGATTTGCAAAGAGCCATTACATTGTTTTTTGTTGTGAAGTGCCGTCAAGTCGGTTCTGACCCATAGTGACCCTGTATAGGGTTTCCGAGGAGCAGCTGGTGAACTTGAACTGCCGACCTTGCAGTTCAAACGGCTTTGCAGTCCGGCGCATTAACTCACAGCGCCACACCAGGACTCCAAGGGGTGAGTTAATTAAATGTTTGACAAAATATAGCAGTCTAATTTTTAAGTTAATAGTTTTGCACAGTCTGCAAATGATGTTATAAATAGTGGCGGTAAAAAAAGGTTCCCTACTCCTGCTGTATAGGGTTTTTAAGGCTGTAAATCTTCGTAGGAACAGAAAGCCTCATCTTTCTCCCTTGGAGTGGTTGGTAGGCTCAAACTGCCAACTTTGTGGTTCCCAGTCCAGTGCTTATCCTACAGAGCCACTGCACTCCTCATGTTATGTATACTTCCACCCCACACCTGCCCCTCCCCCTCGCCCCCAAAATCACATACCCAAAAAAGGAGCAAGAAGGAATCTGTGGACCTGATGGCTTCGTGACTCCAGGTTAAATTTTTAGTCAGTGTGCTGCAGGCAAAGCCACCACCTGTCTGTGAGTGGAGGCTTACATGTTGCTAGGATGTTGAACAGGTTGCAGCAGAACTTCTAGACTAAGACTAGGAAGAAAGACCTGTTGATCTACTTTTGACAATAAGCCAATGAAACCCTTAAGGATCCCAAAGGTCCAATCCACCACAGATCATGGAGAAGGTGCAAGTTTCCTTGTGCCTGGGGTCACTATGAGTCAGTCACCAATTTGAGAGCATCCAAGGACAAAAACAACAAGGAGGAATCCAATCAAAACTTGCTGAAAGGGGACAGGGGGCTGATAAGAATAGGGAGGAATGTATTACTCAATCTCCTTGATGAGTTTTCAGGGAAGTCCATTTTTGATGGTTTATTCATGTAAGAGACTCCGTCATGCAGGGGTGGGAAGAACAGGTTCTTGCTTGTGGGCTTGTCTGCCCCTGACTCCGGGGACTGTCTGCTGAGCATCTACCTGGAAGAAGAGTAGGAGCAGCACTCAGAGTTGCCAAAAAGCTCATTCATGGCATAAGCTTTAGCCAGGAGACCAAAGACAAAACAAGACATGGGTGGGGTAGGGTGGGATGGAACTGAGCATATGCAGACCCTACCCCTAGTATAGCTCTCGCTGATTTTTATCTAGTTACTTCCCAACCTCTTTTAGTTTCTCCCCTTCTTTGTTGCGGTTGTTAAGTGCTGTCGAGTTGGTTCCAACTCATAGCAACCACATCTAGGGTTTCCTGGTGAGTTTGAACCACGGACCTTGCAGTTCAAACCGACCTTGAGGCCCAGTGTCTTATCTCACAGCGCCACGCCAGGACTCCTATGACCTTACAAAAACATGGAGTCCTTATCTTATTCCTTATATCTGAGGTTGCTTGTCACAAATTCACAGGATAAATAAAAACAGAAGCACACGAATGCTCCTTGACTGACTGGTGTATTTGCTTCTAAAGACAAGTCTCTCCTTGGGCATATGACACATTTTAGTGGATTCTTCATGACCAGGAGACAGGTGATATACCGAAAACCGTCCTGCCCTGTGTTGTTAAGTGCTATGGAGTAGGTTCCAACTTACATCAACTCATATAGGGTTTCAGAGGAGCAGCTGGTGGGCTTGAACTGCCTACCTTGTGGGTCGCAGTCCAGTGCTTATCCTATAGAGCCACACCAGGAGTCCTGCTCTATAACAAGGGGCTGGGGGATAGGGAGTCCCAAGAGCAGCATGGAATTCCTGGTGTTTTACAGATCAATCTATTAGCATAACATCTGGTTAATGAGACCAGGGAAGTACAACTCCCTTGTGAAGAAAGGTACATGGGTCAATTTCTGTGATATGCACAGCAGCATACTGGAAATCAGCATTCTAAACTCCACTGTGCTCCAGAAAACAATCACATTTGATAATCCACTTTATTCTTTTCTCTTTTGTACCATAACAGTTGCTTACCTTTTGCGCCCTGAGAAAATATAATTTTCAAAAAGATAAAATGACATGCAAATGACTGTGAAGTGAACATTTTAAAGACTTTCCTGGCCAAAGAATATTTGAGGTACTAACATTTTTTGTTGTTGTTAGGTGCCCTAGAGTCAGTTCCAATTCATAGCAACCTGGTTTCCAAGGAGCGACTGCAGGGTTGGAACTGCTAACCTTGTAGTTGGCAGTCCAGTGTTTACCCTACAGTGCCATACCAGGACCCAGACTTTATAGACAATTTAATAAAGGAATGTTAGGATAAAACTGCTTGGTTAGGTAGAGCACTGGTTAATATCCTATTGTTGTTAAGTGCCATTTAGTCAGTTCTGACTCAAAGCCATCCTGTATAGGGTTTTTGGGGAGCAGCTGGTGAGCTTGAACTGTTGACCTTTTGGTTTGAAGTCCAGTGCTGATCCTACAGTGCCACACCAGGAGTCCATAAACTGTAACTTTTAGGGCTGTCTTTTCTGCCAGAAGGAAAATATTTGTCAAAATGAAATGGAACAAATAAAGATCAGTATCCTAAACATTAGTGAGCTGAAATGGACTGGTATAGGCCATTTTGAATTGGACAAATTGAAGAGGCATGGTGTTGCGTTATCATCAAAAACAGCATTTCAAGATCTATCTTGAAGTACAATGGTGTCTGCGATAGGATGATACACATACACACTACAAGGAAGACTGGAGTCCTGATGTGGCGTTGTAGGATAAGCACTGGACAGTTAACCACAAGGTCGGCAGTTAAAACCAACCAGCTGCTCCTTGTAAACCCTCTACTGGGTCCTATGAGCAGGAACAGACTTTATGGCACTTAACAAGAACAGCAACACAAGGAAGATTAGTCAATATCACTGTTATTCAAATTATGCACCAACCGCTAAAGCCAATGATGATGAAATTGAAGAATTCTACCAACTTCTTCAGTCTGAAATCAAGATGCATTGATTATTGATGACTGGAATGCGAAAGTTAGAGACAAAGAGGAAGGTCAGTAGTTGGAAAATCTGGCCGTGGTGTAGAGGACATGATAAAAATTTGCAAGACCAATGACTTATTCATTGTAAATATCTTTTTTCCAACAACATAAAAGGCAACTGTATATGTGGATCTCATTATATGGAATACACAGTAATCAGATTGATTACATCTGCAAGGAGAAATGATGGAGAAACTCAATATCATTAGTCCAAACAAGGTTAGAAGCTAAAGAAAATTAAAACACGTCTACAAGAGTCAAAATATGACCCTGAGTAGATCTCACCTGAATTTAGAGACCATTTCAAGAATACGTTTGATACATTGAATACTAATGACTGAAGACCACAGAGTTGTGGGATGATATCAAGAAGAACATACAAGAAGAAAGCAAAAGGTTACTAAAAAGGGAAGATAGACAAGACCAAAGTAAATATCAGAAGAGACTCTGAGACTTGCTCTTGAACAAAGAGAAGCTAAATCAAATGGAAGAAATGATGCAATAAAAGAATTGAACAGCTGTTTTCAAAGAGCAGTTTGAGAAGATAAAATATTATAATGAAATAGGAAAGGCTTAGCGTTAGAAAACCAAAAATGAAGAACACTCTCAGCATTTCTTAAGCTGAAAGAACTGAAGAAATAAAACCCAAGCCTCAGGTTGCAATACTGAAGTATTCTATGGCTAAAATATTGAACAATGCAGGAAGCATCAAAAGAAGGTGGAAGGAATAGAGTTACAATAGTACCAAAAAGAATTGGCTGATGTTCAACCATTTCAGGAGGTGGCATAAGAACAAGAACCAATTGTTCTGAAGGACGAAGTTCAAGATGAACTGACGACATTAGCATAAAACAAGGCTCTAGGAATTGATGGGATACCAACTGAAGTTGGTATTTCAATAAACTGATTTCAACTGTCTTGAAGGCATTCACTTATCTATGGCAAGAAATTTCGAAGAAAGCTACCTGACTAACAGACTGGAAGAGATCTATATCTGTGCTCCTTCCAAAGAAAGATAACCCAACAGAATGTGGAAATTCTCAAATAATATCACTAATATAACATGCAAGTAAAATTTTGCTAAAAGTAATTAAAAATGAAAAATGCTGCCAGAAATTCAAGCCAGATTCAGAAGAGGACATGGAACAAGGGATATCATTGTTGAGGTCAGATGGAGCTTAGCTGAAAGCAGAGAATAACAGAAAGATGTTTACTTGTGCTTTATTAACTATGCAAGAGCATAGTGTGGAACTTAAAAAAACTATGGATAACATTGGGAAGAATGGGAATTCCAGAACACTTAATTGTGTTCATGAGGAACCTGTACATATACCAAGAGGTAGTCATTAGAATAGAACAAGAGGATATGGTCTGGTTTAAAATCAGGAAAGGTATGCACCAGGGTTGTGCTCTTTCATCATACTTACGCAATCAATCTGTATGCTGTGCAAATAATCTGAGAAGATGGATTATATGAAGAAGTATGTGATATCAGGATTAGAGGCAGACTTATCAACAACTTGAAATATGCAGCTAACACAACCTTGGTTCCTGAAAGCAAAGAGGACTTAAAATACTTACTGATGAAGATAAAAACTATAGTTTTCACTATGGATTGCACCTCAATGTAAAGAAAACAAAATTCCCACAATTGGACCAATAAATAATACCAAGATAAACAGAGAAAATATTGAAGTTGTCAAAGATTTCATTGTACTTGTATCCACAATTAATACTCATGGATGCAACAGTCAAGAACTCAAATGACATATTGTATTAGGCAAATTTTCTCTTTATAGTGTTAAAGAGCAAAGATGTCACTTTGAAGACTAAGGTGTACCTGACCCATGCAATGTTATTTTCAGTAGCCTCATATGCATGCTAGAACTAGACAAAGAATAAGAAAAATCATAGAAGAATTGATGTATTTGAATTATGGATATTGATCAAGAATATTGAAAGTATCATGGTCTGCTAAAAGAACAAACAAATCTGTCTTGGAAGGATAGCCAGGATGCTCCTTAGTATAGCAATGTACTTTGGACATATTATCATGGTGGGACAAGTCCCTAGAAAAGGACACCAGGCTTGGTAAAGCCATCTGAAAAGAGAAAGACCCCCAACGAGATGGGTTGACACAGTGGCTGAAACAATGGGCTCAAACATAAGGATTGTGAGGGTGGTTCAGGACTGGGCAGTGCTTCATTATATTGTGCAGAGGGTCGCTATGAGCTGTAACTGATTTAACAACACCTGCCAAGTGGCAGCATCGATGGACTCAAGCGTGGCAACAATAGTGAGGTTGGCCCAGGATCGGGCAGTGTTTCGTTCTTCTGTGCATAAGGTCGCTATGGGTCGGTACCGACTCGATGGCACCTAACAACAACAACAACAACAGTTCTTTGAGATTAGGGCCAACATTCTTTTCTTCTCCCAATCAGAACAGCACTATGTGAGTCACAGAACTTGCTCACTGGTGGTGGTGATTATGTGCCGTGGAGTCGGTTCCAACTCATAGCGACCCTACACAGGGTTTCCGAGGCTGTAAATCTTTATGGGAGCAGAAAGCCTCATCTGTCTCCCACGGAACAGCTGGTAGTTTCGAACTGCTGACTTTGAGGTTTGCAGCCTAATTCATAACCACTACGCTATCAGAGCTCCTTAACTTGCTCAGTAGGAATGTATTAATGATACATTAATCATTAGGAGTCCTGGTGTGGCACTGTAGGTTAATGCGCTGGACTGCGAAGTCACTTTGAACCACAAGGTCAGTGGTTCAAGCACACCAGCTTCTCTTCGGAAAACCTTTACATGGTCATTATAGATCAGAATCGACTCAATAGCACTTAACAACAATGATGCATTTATATGGTGAGAGGAAGTTTTTCAGTTCCCCAGCTGACATAGTTCCATTAGGAGAATCCTGTTACCCATCTTTGTGTGTAGCTTTGTGGTTTTTCTGAAGCATATTCTTGTTTCTTTACCATTAGGGCAACCCAAACCAGAAGTAACTTGGTATAAGAATGGTCAAGCCATTGGTGAGTGTGACGCGTCCAGTTATGAATTCTTTGAGAACCAGTATATTCATGTGTTACATCTCTACTGGTAAGTGGCTGTGCTTTTGCAAGCTATTAACTAATAACCTATTCTGTCATATGCTGGTTATAAGGATTCTTGGTGGCACAATGGTTAAGTGCTTGGCTGCTAACTAAAAGGTTCAAACCCACCAGCAGCTCCACAGGAGAAAAAAAACCTGGTCATCTGCTCCTATAAAGACTGGTATTGTTTTTTAAGTGCTGTTGGCTTAATTCTGACTCATAACAACACTGGGTAGGGTTTTCAAGGAGCAGATGGTAGGTTTGAATTGTTAACCTTGTGATTGGCAGTCCAGTGCTTTTCCTACAGCACCACACCAAGACTCCAT